ATATATCATAGTCTAGTCAATAGACTTGAAAATAGACTAGGTAACAGGCTGGTCAGTAGTCAAATCCTTAAACTAGATTCTAGATTTGTCAATAAAGTTATCTATGGATTAGATTCTTTCACTAACTATAGACTAGTCTATGTTATCGATAGAATAGATTATGAACTTATCAATAGCCTAGTCCATAGTCTAATACCAATGATGGTCCAGTTTATAGACTAATTTATATACAAGTTACACACTAGTCAATAGATTAGATAATAAACCAGTTAATATATTAAATACTAAACTGGTCAATAAACTGCCCAATAGATTAGCGTATACACCAATCTATATTCTAGCCTACAAATTTAAAACATGGAATTCTCGGAATTGCTTTATTCCAGAATTTCAAGTATCCGAAACGATTGGGTAAAAGAAGATTAAAAGTCATTAGTATCTTTAGTCCTGAAAAAGTACTATTTAAAAATTTTAATATCTGACCTATAAACAGGGCAGGCTTGAGGCGTAATCATTACACAAAGTAATTCATTACATAGTCAACTACAATTACTTGTAATGTGTAATTGTGGGTTTGCCAATTACAATTAATTGTATTTAATTGAAGCATTTTATCAATTATAATTACTTGAAATTGTAGGTGTTATTAATTACAAATTACATGTAATTATTAAAGGAAAAATTCAATTACACAATTACTTGTAATGTGTAATTGAAGTTTTGTCAATTACAAGTAATTATAATTGTAATTAAATTTTTTCAATTATAATTACTTGTGATTATTATTAATTACAAATTACATGTAATTATAAGGAACAAAAATTCACAATTACAAGTAATTGCAATTAAAAAATTCTCAATTACAATTAAAAGTAACTGTATTTGGTAGTACTTTAATTACAATTTTAAGTAATTGTATTTAGTAAAGCTTCTATTACAATTACTTGAAATCTAATTGCAATTGAAAATGTAATCACTACCCACACAAGCCAGAAAGAAGGAATTTCTGTCTATATCCTCGGCAGAGTGCAAATAATTATTTGTATTTTTAAGAATATATTTTCAACGATCGGATAATAAAAGGTTAAAAGTCGTTTTTATATCTTTAATCCTGAAAGAGTATTATATCAAAATTTCTATATTTCATGCCTTTTCTATAATAAAGTATTTTTTTTTGTTAAAGATCTCATTTAGATGGCGTATGTTTCCACTTTTGACCTATAAACAGGACAGGTTTTAGGAGTAATGATTAAACAACGTAATTCATTACATAGGTAATTAAAATTACTTGTAATATGTAATTGAAGTTTAGCCAATAACAATTAGTTGTAATTGCATTTTATCAATTATAATTACTTGTAATAGTAGGTATTACTAATTACAAATTACATGTAATTATAAGGGAAAAAGTTCACAATTACAAGTAATTGTAATTGGTAGAACCTTAATTACATCTACAAGTAACTGTAATTGGCAGAACTTCAATTACAATTGCAAATAATTGTAATTGACATAACTTCAATTACAATTTCAAGTAATTGTAATTACTAAAGCTTCAATTACAATATTACAATTTGATGTAATAGTAATGTAATAGTAATTTAATAGTAATTTAATAGTAATGTAATGTAATCATTACCCCCAAAGCCTGAAACAGAAAGATTTCTTCCTATATCTTCGGCAGATTACAAATAATTATTTGAATTTTTAAACAAAAAATTTTCAACCTGGTATGTTTTGAAGTTTTAAATGTGAGTTTTATAAAAATTTCTAACATGGTGATCATTGAATTTGTGATGGGTGATATTGAGAATAAAACAATATTCAAATGTGACACACTGTAGAGAGTGAATATTTTTGATTTGATTTGAGGGAAAAAATGTGACCACTAAAAATATGTAAAACTAACTTTAATTGAAACAAACACAAATTTAAACTAACAAACAAATAACGAAAACACAAACGAAAAAGGAAATTACAAAAAAACAAAGGACAAACACAGGGAAAATTTTCAAAATAATGTGGGAAATATCAAAAACTATACACAAATAAAATTAAACATAAATAATAAAAATATAAAATAATTAATAAAACAAATTTAAAATACATTCTATACTAAACCTTTGTTGAGGACAATTTAATATTAGTGCTCTTTGTTTTTGGTTTTTATTAATTAAATTTAATTAAAAACTTGGAGTTTGAAAAACGTTGTTCAGATAATGATGTTTAATAGTAGTTAAAGAGGTTTATGAAGTTTCTTTTTATCAAATTAATCCAATTTTTTATTAAGGGGATAAAGCCTTTGTAAATGATATTTATTTTTAAACCAATCGTTGACCAAATTCTTCAATCGAAATTTTTTGTTTAACAAATTTTAATAATTTAAATTATGTTTAACTAGCAATCTACATAAAATTACCTAAAAAAATAAAATTAAAAAAAAAAGAAATACAAAATTTAAATAAAAATCATGACAATTTTAATAAAATTTTAAATAAATTTTTATTGATTCTCTCTCTTCCTCTCTCTTTCCTTTGTAAATGTTTTCCATGTTAATGAGTTAATGTTAAAACTTAACAAATTAAATAAAATTTTATAAATAGTTTTAATATTTTTCCAAATAATGTTTAATTAACTAAGTAGTAATAATAATTAAAATAATGTTCATGTTTGTTAATGTTAATTAATTCAATGAAAATGTTTGCTAAAGTTTAATTAATGTAATGTAATTATGTTTATAAATGATTACATTGAACATTGATTGATTTATTGATGTATGTATGTGTTGTTGTTGTTTGTTTTCTTTTTTAAGTTTTAAACATTTAACAGAAAACTGTTAAAATGTTTTAATTTTACTGCTCCTTTCTTTTTCATTTCTCTTAACAATTTTTATGACGAAAAACACATTATAAAAGTTACTTACTTGCAATAATGCCCACAATAACTAGACCAATAACGCCCATAATAATCATCATCTAAAATATTGTAGATTAATAAAAATAAATTTATTAATAATATTTTAAAAGCTGTTGTTGGAGTTGCTCAATATACCTTTAAGTTTTGCAACCAGAATTTTCGTTTCAATTTACCAGCTTGCTGTTCAAATTGTGAGGCACCCTGTTGCAAGGCGTCAGCACGATCGTCTAATTCGGAAAGTTTTTGATCTCTTTCGAGTACTTTCTCGACATTTGTTCGCATAATATCAACAACCTAGAAAAAGAAAAACAACAAATTAATAAAGAATTTAAAAAAAATCATATAAAAAGAGATATTTTTCGATAAAAATTCTAGAAAAAAGGGAAATTTTCTAAAAAAAATTTATATAAAAAGAAATTTCAAAACTTTTCTTTAAAAAAGGGAATTGAAAATTATCTATAAAAAAGACAATTTTTTAAAATTCTCTATAGTAAAGGAAATTATCGCAAAATTTTCTATAAAAAGAAATAAAAAGAAAAGAAATTTTCGAAAATTTTCTATAAAAAGAGAAATTGTCAAGAAACATCGATTTAAAAAGGGAAATATTTGAAAATTTGCTAAAAAGGGGAAATTTTTAAAAATTTTCTTTAAAAAGATAAAGCTCACAAAACTTCTCTATAAATGGGGGAAATATTCTTTAAAAAAGGATATTTTTAAAATTCCCTTAAAACGAGGAAGCTTACGGAACTTCTTTTCAAAAAGGGAAATTTTTGAAATAATAAAGAATTAGGAAAAAAATCATATAAAAAGAGAAATTTTTCAAAAAAAAAAATCTATAAAAAAAGGGAAATTTTCTAAACATTTTTATAAAAAGAAACATTTTCTATAGAAAGGAAAATTTTTGAAAGCTATTTATATAAAAAAGAAATTGTCAAATATATTGCATAGAATTTTTTCGAAAAAAAAAAAATCTATAAAAAACGGATATTTTCTAAACATTTTTATAAAAAGATAAATATTTTATAGAAAGGGAACTTTTTTAAAATTGTTTATAAAAAAGGAAATTTTCGAATATATTGCATAAAAATACAAATTTTTGTAAAACTTTCTATAAAAGGAAAATAAATTTTGGGAAATTCTCTATAAAAAGATAAATTGTCAAGAAACCTCTACTTAAAAAGGGAAATATTCAAAAACTTGCTATAAAAAGGGACATTTTTAAAGACGTTCATTAAAAAGGAAATTCCCTTAAAAAGGGGCATCTCACGGAACTTTTATATAAAAAGGGACATTTTCAAAAATCCTATATAAAAAGGGAAATTGTTAAAGACCCTTTATTTAAAAAGGAAAAATTTTATATGAAACCGGTAATTTTATTTAAAAAAGGAAATTCCCTTAAAGAAGAGAAAGCTTATGGAACTTCTCTATAAAAAGAGACATTTTCGAAAATTATTTATAGAAATGGTCAAAAAATCTTTTAGTTAAAAAGGCAGCAATTTTATATAAAAGGGGTTATTTTCTTTAAAAAAGGAAATTCAAAAAGGGAAATTGTCAAAATTTTGTTTACGGAACTTTTCTATAAAAAGTGTTTCATTTTTTTGAAATAAAATAGAAAATTATTTATAAAATGAAGAAATTTTAATAAAATTCTCTAAATTTTTTGAAAATGGGACATTTTTGAGAATTCTATATAAAAAGGGAAATTGTTAAAAACTCTTTGTTTCAAAGGGAAATATTTGACGACATTAATTTTTTTTTTTTAAGAACATTTTGAAAATTTATTTTAAAGAGAGAGAGAGAGAGGGAGAAAGTGATCTTACGAAACTTTTGTATAAAAAGGGAAATTTTCGAAATTTTTTGTAAAAAAAAAATATTCAAAAATTCTCATAAAAGAAAATTTTCGATAAAATGTCCTACAAAGAAGACATTTTGATATTCTTAAAAAATTCGAAAATTGTTTAAAAAATGGAAAAATTTTGGAAAATTTAACAAGTAAAACTTTCGAAAATTCTTCAAAAAAAACATTTTTTAAAGTTTCCTATAAAAGGGAAAGTTAGTAGTAGTTAGTTAGTTAGTTAGTTAGTTAGTTAGTTAGTTAGTTAGTTAGTTAGTTAGTTAGTAGTTAGTTAGTTAGTTAGTTAGTTAGTTAGTTAGTTAGTTAGTTAGTTAGTTAGTTAGTTAGTTAGTTAGTTAGTTAGTTAGTTAGTTAGTTTAGTTAGTTAGTTAGTAGTTAGTTAGTTAGTTAGTTAGTTAGTTAGTTAGTAGTTAGTTAGTTAGTTAGTTAGTTAGTTAGTTAGTTAGTAGTTAGTTAGTTAGTTAGTTAGTAGTTAGTTAGTTAGTTAGTTAGTTAGTTAGTAGTAGTTAGTTAGTTAGTTAGTTAGTAGTTAGTTAGTTAGTTAGTTAGTTAGTTAGTTAGTTAGTTAGTTAGTTAGTTAGTTAGTTAGTAGTTAGTTAGTTAGTTAGTTAGTTAGTTAGTTAGTTAGTTAGTTAGTTAGTTAGTGTTAGTTAGTTAGTTAGTTAGTTAGTTAGTATTAGTTAGTTAGTTAGTTAGTTAGTTAGTTAGTTAGTTAGTTAGTTAGTTAGTTAGTAGTTAGTTAGTTAGTTAGTTAGTTAGTTAGTTAGTTAGTTAGTTAGTTAGTAGTTAGTTAGTTCGTTCGTTCGTTCGTTCGTTTCGTTCGTTTTCGTTCGTTTCGTTCGTTCGTTCGTTCGTTCGTTCGTTCGTTCGTTCGTTTCGTTCGTTCGTTGTTCGTTCTTCGTCGTTGTCGTTCGTTCGTTTCGTTCGTTCGTTCGTTCGTTCGTTCGTTCGTTAGTTCGTTCGTTCGTTCGTTCGTTCGTTCGTTCGTTCGTGTTCGTTCGTTCGTTGTTCGTTCTTTTTCGTTCGTTCGTTCGTTCGTTCGTTAGTTCGTTTCGTTCGTTCGTTCGTTCGTTCTTCGTTCGTTCTTTTCGTTCGTTCGTTTTTCGTTCGTTCGTTCGTTCGTTTTTTCGTTCGTTCGTTCGTTCGTTCGTTCGTTCTTCGTTCGTTCGTTCGTTCGTTCGTGTTGTTCGTTCGTTCGTTCGTTCTTCGTTCGTTCGTTCGTTCGTTCGTTCGTTCGTTTCGTTCGTTCGTTCGTTCGTTTCGTTCGTTCGTTCGTTTCGTTCGTAGTTGTTCGTTAGTTCCTAGCTATTGCCTTAGGTGGTAATCGAGCACAACACCTCCGGTCTATCAGACTAGAACACTAACCACGAACCTACTTCTCTTTAAAAAGGGAAATAATCGAAAATTCGCTATAAAAGGGGGACATTTTTGAAAATTCCTCCAAAGTGGGCTTGAAAGGGAGGATACATAATTCGAAGTTTTTCATTAAAAAATATTTTTCAAAAAGACAATTTTGTGCAAAAATTGTTTTTAAAGAGAGAATTATCTACATTCTTTCTGGAAATTTAATTTTTAAATCAATAAATAATCTCTTACCTCATCAACTTGTGCCTGGGTTTGTTGTAAACGCTTTTGTGCCGCTATTTGTTGAGGGTTGCGTGGTCCACCAACAATCTCACCATCGCCACCCTCTCCGGCTGGCGCACCCTCACCTGCGGGTGGTGCATCTCCGGCTGGTGCTGGATCCGCCCTATATATTTATTATATATTGAGCAAAATTAGTATTTTGGATTAAGCAAATTCTAAAATAAAAGTGCAGTAAAAAAAGATAATAAAAAAGAAAAAACTAAAGTTTAAGAAAAAAACTAAGTTTTTTTTACAAGAAAAGTAATAAAAAATATTTATAAAATAAAATATAATAAGTATTTTAAGTATATAGTTATGTTTTTAAGTATTATATATATTCTAAATATGTTTATGTATAAGTATTTAGCAATATTATTTACTTGTTAATTAAGATTTTGATTTGAATTCATTTAGCCTTTCTAAAAAAATTATGTTTGATATTACAAAGCTTGTTTCCATATTTCTTTTAAAAAACTGAAAAATCAACTTACTCTTCCTTCTTTTTATCTTTTTTGCCCATTTTTTAGTTTTGAATTTTTAAGAGTTAAATAAATTATGTTTTATTTATAAAATAGTTCTATAAAAAAAATTAAAAAAGAATTAAAAGAAATTATTATGGCAAAATAAAAATATTTGATTAAATTTAAAATAAATACTTATAGGTCTCCCGAGGCAGGAATTTCCATAACAGAAAGAAACAAAGTTTTTACTTTAACAGTTCCCGGCAGAATTAAGTAGTTAAACAGCAGCGAAAATGTGATTTCAAAAGGAATTTTTTTCATATTTTCTTTTAAAAGGAAAATTCTCAAAAATCCTCCATAAATGGGACATTTCTGAGAATTTTCAGTCAGTTCTCTATAAAATGGGAAATTTTCAAAATATTAAAAAAATTAATTTTTGAATATTCTCTAAATTAATTTTTTCTACAAAAAGTGAAATTTTCTTAAATTCTGTAAAAAATCCTTTTAAAATTCTCTAAAAAGTGGGACATTTTGGACAATTTTTTATAAAAAGGGAAATTTTCAAAAATTTTTTACAAAAAAGAAAATAAAATTTCTTTTTCTAAAAAAATCCCTAAATTTTTTACAAAAGTGGAAATTCTGTATATAAAGGGAATTTTTCATTTTTTTTTTTTTACAAAAAGGACATTTTTAAAAATTCCCTACAAAAAGTGAAACTTGTTGTTATTAGAATGGGACATTTTGGAAAATTCTTTACAAAAGGGAAAAATTTTCAATATTTTCTAAAAAAAATTCCCAAAAATTCTCTATACAAGAAGGGAAACTTTGAAAGGGGAAATTTTTCAATACTTTCTCAAAAAATATCTATAAAAAGGAAAATTTTTGATAATTCTGTTCTAATGCGGACATTTTTCAATACTTTCTATAAAAAGGGAAATTCTCAAAAATTTTCTACAAAAAGGAAAATTTTCGAAGACCCTGTATAAAAAGGAAAATTCTCATATTAAAAGAAATTTTTCTAAAAAAGAGAAATTTTTTAAAATTATTTTTAGAAAGGGAAATTTTCAAAAATTCTTTAGTAAAGGGGAAATTTTTCAATACTTTCTATAAAAAGGGGAATCCTAAAAAAAAAAATCTACAAAAAGGAAAATTTTCGATAATTCTTTACTAAAGAGAAAATTTTTCTTTCTATAAAATGGGAAATTCTCAAAAATTTTCTACAAAAAGGAAAATTTTCGAAAATTCTGTATAAAAAGAAAAATTCTTGTATTAAGAGAAAATTTTCGAATTTTTTTAAAAAAGGGAAATTTCTTCAAATCAATTTTTAGAAAGGGAAATTTTCGAAAATTCTTTAGTAAAGGGGACATTTTTCAATACTTTCTATGAAAAGGGAAATTCTGAAAAATCTAAAAAACGAAAATTTTTGATAATTCTTTACTAAATAGGAAATTTTTCAATACTTTCTATAAAAAGGGAAATTCTCAAAAATTTTCTACAAAAAGGAAAATTTTCGAAAATTCTGTATAAAAAGAAAAATTCTTGTATTAAAAGAAAATTTTTGAAATTTTTCTAAAAAAGATAAATTTTTTCAAAATTATTTTAGAAAGGGAAATTTTTGAAAATTCTTTACTAAAGGGGAAATTTTTCAATACTTTCTATAAAAAGGGAAATTTAAAAAAAAATTCTAAAAAGGAAAATTTTTGAAAATTCTTGATTAAAGGGGATATTTTTCAATACTTTCAATAACAAGGGAAATTCTCAAAAATTTTCTACAAAAAGGAAAATTTTCGAAAATTTTGTATTAAAATAAATTTTTTGAAATTTTTCTAAAAAATAAATTTTTTTTAATTGTTTTTAGAAGGGGAATTTTCGGAAATTCTTTACTAAAGGGGAAATTTTTTAATACTTTCTCTAAAAAGGAAAATTCTCAAAAACAATTCTAAAAAAAGGAAAATTTTCGATAATTCTTTATAAAGGGGAAATTTTTCAATACTTTTTATAAAAAGGGAAATTTTTGAAAATTCTTTACTAAAAGGGAAATTTCTAAAAAAGGAAAATTTTCGATAATTCTTTACTTTCTATAAAAAGGGAAATTCTCAAAAATTTTCTAGAAAATGGAAAATTTTCGAAAAGAAAAATTCTTGTATTAAAAGAAAATTTTCGAAATTTTTCTAAAAATGAGAAATTTTTTAAATTATTTTTAGAAAGGGAAATTTTCGAAAATTCTTTATAAAAGGGGAAAATTTTCAAAACTCTTTACAAAATGGGACATTTTTCAAAATCCTCAATAAAAGTCTGATTTTCAAAAATTCCCTGTAAAAAGGGACATTTTTAAAAATTCCCTATTAAAGGGAAATTTTTAAGAAAAAGAGAAATTAAAAAAAATATATATACAAAGGGAAATTAAAATACAATTGCTGTAAAAAGGGAATTTTCGAAAATTCTGCATAAAAAGGAAAATTTAAGAAAATTCTCTAAAAAAGAGAAATTTTTGAAAATTATTTTTAGAAAAGGAAAATTTTTGAAAATTTTCTATAAAATGGAAAATTTTTGAAAATTCTCTATACCAAAGAGAAATTTAAGAAACTTCTCTTGAAAGGAGAAATTTTTTAAAAAATATTTTTAGAAAAGGGAATTTTCCGAAAGTGTTCTATAAAATGGGAAATTTTTTGAAAATTCTTTACAAAAAATTTTGGAAAATTCTCTATAAAAAGAGAAAATTGAAGATAATTTTCGTAAAACCTTGAATCCTTGACAGCAACTTAAAAACAAAAGGCGGTGGATATTAATAGGGCTGTGACTTTAAGTCGAAGGCTCTCGAAACACACATAACGGCTTCAAAAGAAATTTCGATTTAATTTTAAAAAATAGTTTAAAATTAAAATAAAGTTTAAAAATAAAAAAAGTATATCATGCAAAATATTATAAAATAAATGTTATTATATTATTTATTGGCCTATTCCCGGCAGGTTTGCAGAATTTACTCCGAATATTTTAAAGAATTTATAAAAAAAACCTGCAAATCTGTCAAATGCGGGAACAGAACTTTTAATATTACCCCTTTTGGGGGTTAATACAAACGAAATCTAACTATTTAAGGCATTAGATTAAAATGTATATATATATTTTTCGTAACATCCGATTTGTTATTTGCGAAATTAAAAATTATAGCTGATATTTTTCATATATCTAAACAGGCAAATACTTCAAAAAATATAATGATTTCGGGTCTAATATTTGTATATTTCAACTATTAGTTATTTTAGTTTTAAGAATATTATGATAAAAACTTTAGGTTTAAGTTTGTAATATCATTGATACTTCATAACTTTGATACTCACTGAGGCTCACTTTCCTTTCCTTCTTTGGCTTCACCTTCCATTTTCTGTACTATAGGTTATTAGGTGCGTTAGAAGATCAGAAGGCTACTTTTAACCCAAAATTCTTTTGTTAATTTTTATGGCAAAATGTATTTTTTTTAAGGAAATTTGATATATAACACTTTTAGCAAAGTGTTAATTGCAGTAAATGGAATATATTTTGAAATAACTTTTAATTTAATGAAATCGATTAAAATTTATTTGAAAATTTTGAATTTCGAGAATCGTTTGAGTTAATTTATTTAAAATATAATTATGTTGAAAAGGTTTTAGAAGATTGGTTTCTTTTCAAATCCTAAAATTTTGAATTTAAATATGTTTATGCTAATTTCATTATAAAATATAATTTTGACAGATTGAAATAGTTTAATTCAAAAATATGAAATTTTTTGTAGACACAATATTTTATTTTGTAACTCGTTTCGAAAGTAAATTGATTTGAAATTGAATGTATGCGTTGATCGAAATACTTAAATAACGACTATACGAATACAGGTATATAAAACCTTTCATAGCAACAACCACTCCCAATGGACCTTAAATTTTCAATTCTATATAAAACCGATATATGTAAATTTCATTATTAAAATCTGAAGCCAATCTTTATAAAAATCAATACCTTTTTATTCGTAAAATTTTTTAAATCCTGTAAAATCATTTCTATACCCACCATCAAAAAAATTTGTAAAATATTGGACTTAGTAGTCATGTTCGTTTGTTGTTGCAGTAATAGTTTTAAAATATTGTACAGGTTAGTCTATAATTGACCCTAACCAACCATATATGAGCGCCTTCAAAAAACTTCTTCAATAATCAGGGGGATTTGTATTGACAAAAAGGTTACTATGAAACTACTACAGATAGTTTTACGCATAAGTTACTTGTTGGTTTAATTAGCGCCATCAGAGCCATCAGACGATCGTCAACCAAGGCTCTGGAAAAGTATTCCCCCAATAGAAACATATATACTGCCCAACGTCACTTATTTTTAGTTTAAGGGACACTTCATCAAAGTATACTGGGTACATTGGAGGGGAAAACATGGTATGTGCCCTATCGTCTACGAGAGACAGAGTCTGTCGGGAACTTTAAAAGCACTAAACCCAGATAAAATAGTAGAGTCAAGCGAGACATTAGAGCAAATATCTATAGAAATGCGTTGCTACATGGATAGCTAAAAACAGAATGGACAAAACGGTCATGGGGATCTACATTGAAGACCCAGAAACCGAAATAAACCAATGGTTACCTAATAAAGGGGAGGGAACTCGAGAAACTGGCGCAACGAGGACAGAATTAAAAACATGAGCTAGGATAGGCGTAAGTAGGATCATCAAACAAGGCTCTGAAGGCGTACCTGTATAAAACTCAATACACAAATCGGGTCTGGGGATCTACCCGAAATAAAACAACGGCTACAACATCAGCTTTCAGACAGATGTCCGTTCAATAACAGAATGTGTTAACTCGATTGAAACATGCAGAAGGCAATATCAGGCAATCAGGGTAAATCAATGTAGTGTATCCACTTATCCGATGAATATTCTTCCAGAGGTATGCTTTGCACTATATGTGTGTCAATCCACTTGGAAATAATGGACAACAAAAGAACGAGAATGTGTACCGGCGCAACGAGGAAAAAAATTAAAATCATGAGCGAGAGAATCCAATGCGGCCACTTCAAAATGAAACGATGGATAGGATAGGTTACTGTGGTAGCTGTACGGTATAAGTAGGACCATCAGCACTACGTCAACAAGCCTATATAAATTATTGCAGAGTTATGCTTTGCTGCAATATAAGTATGTCAATCCACTTGGAAACAATGGACAACAAAGAATGTACATTTTTGATATAAAGGTGAGGA